CAGTATCAAAGGCCTTACAAAAATCTAGGAATATACCACAGCAATAAATTCCTGAATCAATGGCTCTTTGAATTTTATCAGTATTTAAGAGAATTGCATGAAAAGTGTTATGAAGAGAACGAAAACCAAATTGTTTATTGTAGAGGCAATCACTCTTTTCAAAGAAAGAGATCAGTCTTTTGTACATAAGTTTTTCAGAATTTTACTAAAAACAGATAGCAGTGATATTGGACGATAGTTTGAAGTCATTAAATTTGTCCTAACAGAGCATTTGGATTAATTTCCGAGTAGATTCTTTTAAAAATCTTTGTTTTATGAGAAAAGTATTTTAATTTAGTAATGAACAAAAAATTAGGTAAATGATCAGACAAATCAGATAAAATATTACCACTTATGGTAGAATGCTCAAGAGAGTTAAAAAATGTATGTTGAGCCTGCATTGTTCAAATCGCATTGAAACTTTGAGAGATTTGTCTTTATTTAGATCATTGAGACCGAAATACGACTGCTTTATTGTTTATCGGCTAGTTCTTATAATTTTTAAATCTTACTATCCGAAAATGTTTTCATTTTTTTTTACAAGCCGTGAATATGACTTTCGTACGCTGTTAGGTATAAATGTCAAGAAAGTTCGGGTAATCCACAACCGGCAGAATAAAGCCTGGGAGTAGATAAACAAACAATGAATGGTGAGATAAAACAAAGAACGCAGCTTACATGTAGAACAATACACATTGTTCACCATAATCCATGCTTTCTTTGTTTTTGTTATTTTGTCCATTCCCAAGGTTCGTTCTACCAGTGGACACCGACCCGTCAGTTCTGAGTTTCAGTCCTCTTTTTTTTTGGATATTGGCTATGGCTCAACAAAGAAACCGAATTCAAGGATAAATAAATATAAAAAATATTTAATAATTATGAAGTCTTTTCATGTAGATTGTGCAAGGGACAGCTCCCTAGAAAGCGTGTTTATTAGTATATAAGAATCTCATTGTAGTTGGATTGCCTGAGTATCCAACCATCGTCATTACGTTTGTTTGTCATTAATTTAGACAGAATTAGGTAGAAAATAATTTACGTTCGTTTGAGCACAGCGAATTAGAACGTAAATGCACTTTTTTGTTTTTGAAAATCTACAATTCCTAAACGCTAATGAAAGTTTGAAAACGTTAATGAACCCACGCAAACATATTCATGATTGTCAAATTCAATGCTAAATTTCTTAATGAAAGTTCCATTGCACTCTTGAGACTCCGTTCGCCTTATTGTATGCCTGTTCGCTGTAATGACAATACTTCTTCGCTTCAATGAATATTCTTTCGCGGTTAATGAACAGCAAAAGGTGTAGTACGTCTTAGTAGTCTATTGTACTAAGGTGGAAAACTAGTGAAAACTAGTGTAAACTGCGTCGGTGTTTTCAGTAAAACAGTTGATAGATAGATAATATGTAACACCGTATGGTGTGTAAAAATGAAACTGACGTTACATATTATCTATCTATCAACTGTTTTAGTATTGTACTGATGTATTGAGACAACGGATTGCGTCTGCAGTTATCGCGCAAACTAATTACACCTTTAAGCAATATTAACTTWATTTATCTTCATTTATATCTTTATTTCAGTTTTAAAAAAGTCGACGACATTCAATGGAAAAAATCGACGATTTAAATCAAAACACTTCGGATAGTCTTTCTTTTGGAGAGTTCAACTCGTCGGACAAGAACGTATTCAACAAGAGCTTGAAAAGCAAGTCTCCCGATGTGGTTACTCTAGGGAGCCTCTACTCCAAGGACGTGCCGAATGGCTACTTTATGCCAGAGCGGCCATCCTCGTTCAATCCTCGGGCCAAGTTCCGTAATGACGAGCGGTACACCATTCATGACTATCCACCTTGGCCACTTTTTTTCGCCGAACGGCTCAAGCCTATTCAGATTTCCTTYGTCGTTGGCAACGAACTCCCAATTCTCATGCGCTACTTCCCTGCGGAAGAACTAAAAACTCATTGGAAGAAATGGATTCCTTTCTTCCCTCTGGCGGACGCCCGTGACTTGGTCACCGAAGACACTGGTGATAGTAAGTTGATTACTTACTTTCCAATTCAGAGCTTGCCCAAAGAAAAACACGCAAACGATCCTGATATGCACCACAAGGTACTCTGTAAATTAACCATCCCTGAAATGGGAGCAGTGACWCCTAATCATATGACAGTGTATGACTATCACGTACCCTGTATGATCAAGGTCACTCACGGTGTCTCAGGGCGAGGTACCTTCATGGTCAAGACTAAACAAGAAGCAGAAACACTTATCAATAAGTTACGCGACGAGGTCAAGTGCCCAGAGCCGAGTATCTCTGAAGTCATTGAAGACATCACAGGAAATTACTGTGTCCAGTTTTATCTTTTTAAAACTGGCGAGATACATTGGCTCGGCTGCTCCAGGCAAACCGTTACAGATGAATTCGAGTGGGATGGTGGTTACATTGACTGGAACAAACAAGACGAGCTGAAAAGAATGTACTTCAACACGGTTATGCCTGTCAAGGAATACCTACATAAGAAAGGCTATTTCGGTGTGGTTGGTATTGATGTCTTGTCCAACAAGGAGGACAACTATGTGGTCGATGTCAATGCACGAATTAACGGCAGCACTTCGCTTCTCTTGATTGCGCCTCACATGGCCGCTAAAGGCTTCACTTCCTCCGCTMTCCTCATCATTCCTGATGTCAAAGGCAACGAAAGCGAGTTGATTGAAAAGCTTGACCAAATCAATTCCGAAAGCAATGGAATCGTCATTGATTTGGCAAGCGTCGAAAACCCAGATGGAAAATCATGCGAAGCCCACATCTGCATGTTTGCAAAATCCGAGCAAGGAGTGAAGAACCTCTATTCTAAAATAATTAACCAATGAACTGACGACTTATCTGCTTATTGCGTTGAATATATTACCAGCACACGATTACTCTTAAACAAAACATGCATATGCATAAGTATATATATTTCTTGTTTTTTCTTATATTTGATAAATTTGCACATTTTTAAGGTATTCAGTAATGGTTTGCAAGCATTCCCAACAGCGTAAAGAGATGTGGCGACCATGTTGTAGGGCATAAGACCGTTCATATTKTGCTTTGCCTAGGCATAATTGGTATTCTCCAACCAGTTGCTGATCTTGATATCCCGAGGATGAAGCGAGTACCAGACTAGTAACGAAGTATTACATGAAATGCTTTGTTTCGGAGCTAGATCGTTCAGGTTTTTTCGCTGCGGGCGGCGGTAATCAAGCATTGGTCACAATCAATCGGCCCGAATAACGGGAATATAAAGGCTTAACTAAGATATGTTTAAAATGAGCAACAAAAACAAAAAAAAATTGCTAGCTTATACTGGTCATTAGGTAAGCTAAGATATAACCGTGGAGTCGCCACAATAAATAAATGAGCTTTCTTATAGAAAAATTGTAACGGGAAAGACCTTTCTTATAGAAACRAATTAATGTAATGGGAAACAATTAGATTAAAAAATTATTCAAACCACCATTAGCCCTGAAAAAAATTTATGGTCGACTCCAATTTTTTCATCTTCCCRGGAACCCAGGTGTAAAATTCTGTCGCTCGTTTCTGGCTCCCATAAAGAAATACTTTTTGAATTTTTTTTAATGGGAGCCAGAAACGAGCGACAGAACTTTAGCCCTGTGTTTCGGAGGATGATTTTTCCTATACGTTCAATCTGATTCAGGTCCATTCTYATTAATTTACGTTCTTCCCATCTATTTCATCTATTTCGGTGACACAAAAGCCAAGAGGTGTATTGAAGTGAGGATCCCCCCGTGTCTGCTTTGTTTTTACAGTCGAACCTCTATAAAGCGGTCACCCCTGGGGAAACATCAGTCGACCGCTTAATAGAGGTGGCCGCTCAATAGAGGTCAAGTTTACAGTAAATACAGTATGAAAAGCGAATTTCGGGAAATTATTAAGTGACCGCTTAATAAAGGGTGACCGCTAAATAGAGRGCCGCTTAATAGGATTCGACTGTAGTTACTAAATGTGTAACTGCATGAACGTAACATTTCTCAGTGTTACATTGGTTCCTTTAGTGAGTGTGTCCATGAATGGCATTTCGACCTGTAAAATCATCAAGTGTCAAGAGCTTGAGAGCCTCCTTAAACTCGTGTTGAGATTCTAGATTATCACCATGGTAACCAGACCAGGGTTTACGTAGGACAAAGCAGRGACGTTCAACACTGCATGCACTGACCTCAACGACCTAAGCAGCTCATAAAATGATTAATATTTTTACAAAATATTCAAGAATAACCACGATCTAGTACAAACGGTAGTCTTAAGCTGGTGACCAGCAGGACRGCCCGTACCTGATGATTATATCGCTGACCAAATGAGAAGAGCCCGAAAAGCCATGCCGACAAWAGCAAAGAAGGTGGAAGGTGGAAGGTAAGAAAAGTCCAAAAAATTCTACAAGCTGTTAAGTATAGTACTTGACGTGACATATACGATGAAAGTTTGATACAGGGGCAAAGTGTCCAATTTATATTGTGCCCTGACGTCTTTGCAAATATTTTTAAATATTTTAAATAAACATCTTAAAAGACGGCTATAAATCTGGGAAGGATTCAAGAATATGTTTTATTTCATTTTATTTTTATAGGATGTAACATTACGGATAAAACATGTAGACTTGGTAAAAACATGATTTTTTTTTTTTTTTTTTGGCGAAACTTATCAAGCAATGATTGCGTCAAGTTCTGAGCGTATAATAGCGCAGCGCACTGCTTCTAAAAATAGCTTTAATATTCGGACAAACTTTGCATTCTGTTTAACCGCTACGAGGATTATACGAACCGATTTTATTATTTTCACTTAAAGTTACAATAATAACCCATGTAAACTAATATCAACTGCGATAGGCTGTGAAAATTATCTGTTGAAAGTAAACTTGTAAGTTTATTTGTCCGAATTTCGCCTTTGTCTTCTTTCTCATGACGTCACGGTTGTGCTGCGCTATTAGTAGTTGAGAACCTTGAGGACAACGCCGTGCGCTTACGCAAAAAAATACTAAACTCAAAGCCCTTTTACCGTTGTGGTAGTGAGCATTTAGATGCAGGCTTTGTTACTATCGAGCACTGTGATTAGATATTATAAGAAACGATTTGATTGGTGTACAGCAAACCTTCCTTCAAAAAGAAACTCTTGATCGACTTCTTTAATAAATGAGCCGGTTATTACCAAAGTATGTGAGCCGYAGTCTGATTGTATTACGTATGTAGACACCGAAGAAAACCTTTTTCTTATCAAGGTGCTTGTCTTGATTGAGAAGAAGTTCCTGTTTGAAATGAAGTGAAAGCGCTTCTCTTATAGGGATGTTYATCGATAATTAATCTGGATTCTGATGTTTTATATTTCGCTGGAGAGATAAAAATCACACACAATAAAAGTATTATAGAAGTCCTAGTTCAATTCAAGTGGAAGTATTAATATACAAACACATATTTGATATATTCGCTGTGGAATGAGAACATTCGTAGTTGGACGGAAGTTTCTTGGAAAACTGAGTAGCAAGTGTCAGAAAGTTTTTAATTGTCGAGAAGCACATCGTTGATCGTCGGAAATCTATACCAACTGTACAAACAAAAACTTTATTTTCCCCTCTTTAATGATATCTTGTCGAGGCACGCTAATCTCGATGGAGAAAGAAAAACACTAAAGCGCTTCTTGATGGAACGGAGCTGCGGATTCAATTATTGCTAGACTATCTTTTCTCCCGTAACAGATGAAATAAAAAAGTATTATTTAAAAAAGATTAAGTTAACATGTAATTTAGAAGAAGGAATTTAATCTAAGGCTGCATATAATTTTAATCCAAATTTTCGCGTGACAATATCAATAAGCATGCAACTGTTTGTTTAGCGCATGATTAATGAGGTGCAACTCTTAAGTAGGATTCTGTTTCCTAATCACGAAGAGGCAGATATCATTCGTGATCGTTGTATTCATTCTATCATCGCTGCTTTTCGATAAATTATCTCATATACATTCGTCTCGCATTTTGTCACGTTTCTGGGTATTCTGGTCCACACACACGTAGTCAGAAATTGTCTACATCAAATAACGGTGGAAAATTTACTGTGAGTGAGGTTAGTAGAGTTTATTTCTGCATGAATTTTAAACTCCATTCTTATATATGACTTTCTATCAAAAGCTATGTGAGGTCAAGTTGATATCTTGTCTATAGTTTTTTGAAAGACTTTTGTAGCCTTACACTGTCAAGTATCCTTTTTACTTTCACCTATTTGAGTATATTTTGCATGCTATGGCGGGATTCATAGCTGCGAGTAAGTTAGCGCCCGACTAAACAAACTTGTAGAAGTTTTGAACATTTTTACAAAAAGTAGTGCTTTCGAAAAAATGCATCGAATAAAACTTTCATTGGATTAAAGTCTAGTTAATAAGGGTTTTCTTTCAACAGCCCGTCCGCGCCCACCTACTGAGTAACACATCCCTTCTATTCAAAACTCTGTTCATTTTGATCCATACGTGATACGTGTTTCATTTTCTGTCGATCTGTCGTGAGATAGAAGACTTCCCTAATGCACATTCTAGCCTAGTCTTAAACGATAGAACAATGGACCGATCTCGGTCCTAGGTGCCTGGGGTAGTTGCTCTGTGTGCGGTCGAACCAAGTCGAAATTGTTTTCAATATCATAGCCCAGTTCTACAGCATAACATCAAGCAACAGACCCTTGCTAGACCAACAGTTCAAGATATACATTGATAGAGTCAATGACCGCTCATTTCCCCAACGAATCCTATTGTTCCATAAACTTTTAAGACAGATTGACAGACTGATAAATCCTTTAGATCCGACGACGAGTACGAGAACGAATACGAGTTTTTCACTTTTAAAGATTAGCGCTATCATTTCGTAGTCGTGGTCGAGTACATACGTAGTGCGGAAACTTTAGATTTTWAAAAAATCGGAAATTGWCTACGATTCAGTGTTAACGCGTACAGAACCAGTTTGTAAGGCTCTTACTTCGTGTACTACAAGTTGCGAATTCCTTTGAAGTCTCTTGAKTTTAAGAACAGCCTTATTGTTTCTGTTGGTAAATACTTAAAAAAGAATGTACAAATTCGTACAGATTAGTACGATGCCAGTTAAACGAATTCTAAATTTTTTCAGGACGCGATAACAATTATAGTATTAGCCTAGTGCCAACTAGAAATCAAATATAAAAATCAGGTCAGGTTTTACTTGGCTAAAATTAGAAAAACCTTAATTTTCAAAACTTTTGAAAATCATTTTGGCATTACTTATGATAATAATTAATAAATAAAGTATTTTTGGAAGTTGAGTTTTTTTAGTTTATGTCGCACAAAATAATATTTTTGCATATAAGGAATTTTCTGCGGAGAAAATCAAACCTTCATGATCTAGAACAGCTTTTTTAGTGTCAATGCGCTTAGGTTCCCTACCCACTTTCCTTGGGTACTAAGCATATCTCTAAGCTCGTCTGTCACACAGACAAAAACAGAAAAAATATGAGATTAACAGTGAGACATTGTATCACTTGTCGTGACGGGTGTCATCTTACGCTGATCCTGTTTGCTCAGTACTTTACTTYGAGTATTAAAAATGCAGAGCATCCAAGATTGTTAAAGTTTTGATTATCTAATCCCCACTTTCAAACAAATCGCATTCCTTTGTCTTAAATCCCTCTTAATTCAATTCATTACTTCCTTACGCTATGGTAAGATAGCTAGGACTCGTTCACTTTCTGTTAACTCTCTTGGACTCGCAACAAGACACTGAATAAAGTAACAGAGACTAGGCAAGTAAGTTCGATAACATGATTTCATCTGTCGTCTCATAATAGCCATGAAAAGTTACTTTTTCAAGTGTTAATARCTTGAGTCTTAAATAACAACTCACAATTGCTACAAATGCGGTTTTAGCTTTCCTCTGGAAAAGCAGTCATCTTGTTTTAACTTTACAAATCAAGAAACTTCACCTCTTCACATCTTTATAAGTTTGAATTGGTTAAAAAGACACAAGAGATACTATACTAAGAAGATCCAACACAACTAGCTGCTCGTGCCTTTACTAGAAAAACTTGCTATASTATTGATCACCACCCCAAGTACACAGCAGTGGCGAAGCTCAACGAGGTCAAACTGAAAGCATGGTGAAGGTGCGCGCCTCTGGCAGTCGCCGGTATACAGTCCATGTATGACGCCGGAGCACAGCTCTCTGATCAGTTTAAATTAGTTAGGGTCGGTTTGAGAGGATGGATAATAAAATGGAGACTAGAGAAACGCCCTCGGAGTCAGAAAGAGAACCACTTAACCGATTTTGAACCAACCATCTCATACTCRCATGCTGGGCTGATTGGGATCTAATATGATTTTCGAATAGGATTCATTATTATTGGCATTTATRAACTCTGCATTTTCTCTATGATCACTGAGAGTTCTTTCCATCATGTCATTTGATTTCATGTGATTCGGGTTCATTTTATCTCAATCTGGGTCAAAGWCCCTTGATTTTGTCGTTCCGCACAAGATAAGTGTGACGACATTTTTTTTCATTAGGGAATAACACTCGTACGGTGTAAAATGCTTATTTCTCATGAGCGCTTTGCCGAGGATACTGACATCAAGCTAACCTTTATAGCATTAACTAAAATGCGTATCATAACACCACAAGCAACAGCAAAAAAAAAAAAAAAAAAAAAAAAAAAAAAAAAAAAAAAAAAGAAAAATCGCCAAGAAAACTTTTCAAATTCTGCGGACACTATATTTTATTGAAAGTGGATGAAAAAATTTCGCTTTCACAGGAATTTTCATTTTGACCCAAGATGCATTTCGCGTCGAGACTAATTCGAGACCCCCTCGTGTTGCAACATATTTAGGGAATGATAGCAGATAATCTGTATTATATATGGCCACAAGAGATACGTACGGAACTTTATCTTTAAGTGTTTGACTCAGATAACCGTTAACGAGATAAATTCTCTATCTTTCRAGTGGAATTGCKGTGTTGTCCAGAAAGTCACAGAATGTGCATGGAACATCGAGAAGTATTCTCAAAATTAAAGAGTCCAGAAATCTTGAAGATCATTGGCAATWATCAAATGCCTCTCCAGAGGAAAAATGGACTCCAGAGAAAAATGYTCAAATTTAAATAGGGACCCAACAAATTTTATTCATTTGTGATGCCGTGTCCAGAAATCGAAACCGGCCGAGAACCCAGAGGAGAGGCATTTGATTATTGCGAAAGATCTTCAAGATTTCTGGACTCTTTAATTTTGAGAATACTTCTCGATGTTCCATGCACATTCTGTGACTTTCTGGACAACACAGCAATTCCACTTGAAAGATAGAGAATTTATCTCGTTAACGGTTATCTGAGTCAAACACTTAAAGATAAAGTTTTCCTCTCTCTCTACAAAACCCAACACACTAAGTTCCGATTTGATATCTAAGCACTTTAGCTGCATGCACCCTAGCTTAGATCAGATCAGAGAGGTTGTCTTAGGGTTCGATAAAACGTGACGTTCCTTTTTTGAGTCTGAAATAAATGCGCATGTTGGATTATTCCAAGTCAAGCTAGACGTGATCTTTGAATATTTTTCCTCTAAATTTATTCTTTCAATCAGACTTTTTTCATATCGAAAGCTTTTGATTGTGTAGTTGAATGACTAGAGTTAAGCCTCATGTTCCTTACAAAATCAGTAAACGCCACGTCAATCACCACAAGTTCCGCCCTCCTCGAACATTGATTGATTGGTCATCACGCTTACAAGCTCAGGCAACCAATTAACTGCTTTTTGCAACACACTTTATTTGTTTGGTCGCGCATTGAAACTTTCTCGAAAGAAAATATTAAAAACCTTAACAAAAAATCGAAAGCCTATCTCCTGATCGGAACCATTCGGAAAAATTGCTTATTCCTGGAACAATAAGCCAAAGTAAACAAAACTTCAACATCGATCAAAACACCTTTAATTGGCCTATTGCTTTTAACAAGTTAATCCTATCCATTGAATCAGATTGTGGAATAATGAGGTCCTCGAGTTTATTTTCCAGGCGTTGAACAATGACTTGGCTGTGATTGACTGCCGTGAACAAAAGAACTCTTTTTGTCTGTTCCTACAATATTTTACTTTCTGATAGAAGGCTGTTCAAATATTGTATGAGTCTGTGTATGAACTGTATTATAGTCGCTAACTGGTCTCATCACGGTACATGTTGACAAAAGAGCCAAAAAGAGAGAAGGAAACTAAAAGGCTAAAAAAACGTCGACTATATTTGGCTTAGGTATTTATCTCTTCGATTTACAAATACTACCGTAACGTTGTTCCGTTAAAGCACATTACTCTAACTTTCTTTTAGGTATCAACATCGTTTGCTATTGTTTTCGCTGGCTTTCGGTTCTCGTATAGTTGTTCATACAATAGTATGTATGTACGATCGATTTTCAAATTGGTTATGGTTTTTATCTAGCTTAATCTAATTAGCTTCTATTCGGAGTACACTGGCAAAATCTTACTTGTAACAGACCCTTGATTTACATCATAATTACAACATAACAAATAATCTATTAAAGCTGCATATCTTCGTGTAATATGTTATTCACTCAAACGATTCCACATTTAAGATTATCAAATGAAAAGGTAAGTGTTTAATTCTGAAGACCCCGTCTGGAGCAAATCCGCAAAATTTTCGCAATTTAGCGTCAATAATTGCATTTTGTCAACGAGTGTGCTGGCTTTATTATATATATTGTTATGATGTACCAGCTCAATTTTTGAAGTAAAATAATGTTTTTTCGGCTAAAAGAAGCTAGAGTTCTCGTAAGACGTATAACCCGACTTTGCATGAGTAACTGGTTTCTTTAATAAGATTTCCAAACGAATGAGGCTAGTTCAAATATTCTTACTGCAAATTAAAACCATTAAAACCAACGTATTGATATATTGTTTTGTCCAAATGAAAATCGAATATTAGCTTTTTTAACGTAGGCGTGAAAAGCAGCTCCTTTTATTTTCTTGTCATCGTGACGTAAATTATATACACGTCAATCATTTTTTATTTACCGATTTCTGGAGTTAATAAATTTATGTTGGTTGTTTTATGTTGCCTCGCGATGTAGTAAAATAATCTTTCTACTCCTCAATTTAGCTGTTACATGGGACTTAAGATCTTTTTAATCAATGCTGAGGGGAAATTAGAGATAACGATTTAATATTTAATCTAGGTGGTAATATCAGTGACTACCATAGATAGTCATTCCATACTGTAAGTGCATCGACAAACACTTGAGAAAATTCATTACAGTAACGTGCGATTAATGTCGTTGTTGGACGGCTTAGATAATAATGCTGTTCTTAAACATCACCAAGTTTTCTTTCTTTCCTAGAATGGACGGGATAGCTTCTTCAAACAACGATGAAGACGTTGAACCAGAATTTCGCGTGCTGGACTTAATAGGGGAAGGTTCTTTCGCTCAGGTCTTCAGGTGCGTCGAAAGRAAAACCCAAGCTTCATTTGCGCTGAAAGAATTCGACACGACGAAAGAAGGATACGACCACAAGATTGTCCAACAAGAAATCAAACTCTGGAAAGGACTGGAACATGAGAATATTGTTAAGCTTTATGCAAACTTCAGAACAGGAAAATATTTATATTTTGTGATGGAATTTTTGACGGGAGGTAATCTTTTTCATGACATGTTAACGAGACATCGCTACAGCGAGCAAGAAACTGCTGGGATTACGAGACAGGTAGGAAATCTCGTGCTATGATTATTCTCAGTTTGCTAAATTAAAAACATAAAATTCAKCTCAAAGGCAGTCGGTATAGACTCTCTAGAAGCCAATTTGCGTTATCGCGTTTTCATTTCAAAAGCCAGATGGAGGACTGAGGACTGAATTGTTCATAACTTATGGCTTTAATATTTTTATTTCTTAGCTATCCTAGCGCTCTTTTCTGTGGTATGTATTTAGTCGAACTTCAAGAAATGCCTTCTTTCTAAACGCTGYTAGACTAAAAAAAGTATTTTGGAAAAGTCCTTTAAGAAAAAAAGAGAAAAATCTGTTCACCATTGTCAGTTCAAAACACTATAGATTTAAAACTTCTGTAAACAAGAATTCTTTATTTGCAAGAGAATAATCGTTCTGGCAATTCAGTCAAAACATTAGCTGTTTAGGGACTCAGCTAATTTTGCAAGATATTTTTTTTTCTTATAATTATCATCATTTGATTTTTATCAAATTTATCTTTACAAGAAAAATGTTGCTTTTCTTGACTGACCTCAGAGGGGTTCGTAGTCTAAACAAAGTGATAAAAGTACTTCCAAGGGCAAGATTGTGGACAAGATTGTATACTATTACTGTTGACTTAATATCTTATACAAGCACCAACAATCAAGTTTTGTGATAACTCCGTTAATTATCTGCGTTTTATGAAATCCGGAGGTGCTTCCCTAGTCTCCTACGCAGTAGCCTCCTTCGCAGCCGTTCTTAGGGTCGTCACGCAACGCTTCGTGACGACCCTAAGAACGGCTGCAAAGGAGGCTACCTACGCAGCCGCTGTTAGTGTCGTCACGCAACGCTACACTAATARCGGCTGCGTAGGAGACTAGTGCTTCCCCGCTTCCCAGACTTTCACAAAGGATTTTATCTTAACTATTTTTTATGTCAGTCTTAATTCTCATGCTCATGGGAAGAAATGCATATGTCGGCTGTAGTACAATTTACTGCTCAATGAAGTTAACAGAAAGTGTGRTTTTCTTTTTTTCAATAGGTTTTAGAGGCACTCAATTATCTCCATTCAAGAAGAATAGTTCACCGAGACATCAAACCTGACAATATCCTCCTTAAATCAAAGCCTGTTCTTGGTTCGCGCCAACACATCGAGGCCAAGATATGCGACTTTGGATTTGCATTAAGACTTCCTAGGGACTCTGACGTTATTCATTGTCAGGCAAAAGGCGCGCCAATGTTTTTGGCGCCAGAAACGATCTTAGAGGATCCTATTGGGTGTCCTGTGGATTTGTGGGCTTGTGGAGTGCTATTGCACACTATGATCGTAGGGTATCCGCCATTTTGGGACGATAAYAGCGAAAAAATGCTTCTCTCTGCAGTGAGAGGACAGTATTCTTTAACTACAAAATGCTGGGAAAACGTCTCTTCGTCTTGCAAGGATCTTGTGAAGAGAATGCTTACTGTACCMTCGTCACAACGAGYAACAGCATCATCCGCCTTGAAGCATCCTTGGATATTCAAGATGTCATTATCCTCACCCCTCCCCCCTCGAAAATCAAACCGATTTCTTTCTCATCATACACTGAGCACTAAACTGAAGAGCACGCTTTGTAAGATGCATGCAAGTATGAGTGCGCAGTCTCTTGGAGTCGGACATTTCAAAGGGAAATTYTTTCCTCTTCATCACTCAGCGCATAACTTATCTACACTACAATGAAAAGGGCTTTGAAGGACCTGCAAGAGGGTCAAGAAACTCAAATCCTTCGAAATTCACACTAAACATCTTGATTTACCCTGGGTCTGTTTAGACCCCTTCGAAAACTGAAACTGTTGCTTAAAAAACTCTTTGCGGCATTTGAATTGAAATTCTGATAATTATTGTTCATTATTTTTAAAATATGAAATATTGCTATTTGTGTRTGCCCCAATTGATGATATAAGCAAAAATGAGTGGGCGAATGTATCTTATAGATGCGTCTAATATACTGGAGCAGCTTTTGTATGACTGTGAGATATTTATGGCATGTGCGATGACGTGTTGTACCGTGATCGTGAAGGTGTGAACATTCTGGCATTCTGATTGGTTAAATCAGTAATCCCGCGCACTGTAATTGGTTGATGAAGTGATGTCGTACCGTGACTKTGCTCTAAGTTTTCACAGTCATGCGAAATCTACTCTTTATCAAACACTTCAGGTTAAGATCAATCTTGGCTGGCCACAAGATTGGGTCTTCTTTTTAATCATCGTGTTCTCGATATTACGTCATGTYATTTGAGAATGCAGTATTTATTAATATGTTGTCAGCGGATGTATTTTTGAATTTTGTAATTATATTYCAAATAAAGCTTTTAGAAATATCTTTTCTCTTGTCTCATTATGTTAGCATAATTGTTTGTTGGTTTTAATATTTAGGTATGGATAATATTGGATAAATATAGTGAAGAAATTCTAGTGAAATTAAAATACCAAGGCGTACGTCAAAAATATCAAATAGAGAATGCGGAGTGGAAAATTTATATATGTGAAAAAATAAAAATGACTTTGCTAGTATAATCTTAAAAGGGTCTTACTAGGTCCRCACAGGAGCCTATCCAGGCAAGGCAACAGTTATCTATATCGATCCACCATCCAGCAGTCCAAGTCCAATTCTATATTTTCCAGTCACGCCAGCATTACTTACGAGTCAGCGTTAGTTCTAGCCCCTGCCATATTGCCTGGGTCCCCCAAAGATCTTCCTCTTTCTCGTGGCTCCGCCATCTTGGATCAGTCTGAATGCTGTAAGAATATTCAACTTTTATTCAACTTTATGTTTAACAATCCAACTATTTGACTGCACAGAACGAAMGTTTATATATTATTCTGTATTCTAGGTAAATTTGAGCCCGAAGCATGCAGATTTTCGTTAAAACTTTAACGGGTAAAACCATCACCCTCGAGGTAAGCYATCTTGGATTGCACGTGGTAGACGTGAATATTGCTAGACATTTTGTCCTTTTGTTACTTRTCAGTCATTTAATAAATATTATTTATAGGTTGAACCCAGTGATACCATCGAGAATGTAAAGACTAAAATTCAAGATAAGGAAGGTATGGATCTATAGTCTTGACGTATTCAAGCTTAGTCAATTCTTTGGCTGAAAATATAATTTGAAATGAATATGAATAAAATAGGGTATTCTCACTTGCTTATTTTTAAAAACTGTGACACCATTAAGTTAATATTAAAGATCATATTTTGTTCACAGTTTTATAAATGATCAATCCCTTGAATATTGATATTGATGGTGTCAAACATTTAAAAATATAAGAGTGATGATTTGTAATTTTAGTCAAAGTTTTATTTAACATAGGTTTGTAAAATTGCTAGCCCTCAGGTAGAGGAGAAAGGGGASGAGGTAGTAGAGTAAAAAGAAAGAGGTTTAGTCACATCTTTCTCATTTTGTCACATCTTTCTCATCTAAGTCAATGAAATGATTCTTRGGCTTTGCAAATTATAGCATCTACAACTGTACATATAGAGCTTTGTCGTAAGAAATCACACACGTCACCCATGTTAGCTGAAGAAAATTATTTTTTCCCTGTATAGCCTTGCAAACAGGATGAGTTTTTCCAGGCATAAACAGTGTTCATTTGCTAATATAAAAGAATTTTTGCCCTTGGTTCCTGAGCACAATGGACGAGCGTACATTTATTGCTGGGCCCTAATGACAATACAGTTAATTTTACCTATGCCAAAATTCAGTGTCTGAGCGCTATAAATATGAATGGTCTAAAGGAACAGTTCAATTTGTTAGTCTAATTTTGTTAGTCGAGTTATCAGCCATCGATTGCACACTTCTCACTGATTATTTTATTCCTCTACCAAACCTTTCCAGGTATTCCTCCTGACCAGCAGCGTTTGATCTTCGCTGGCAAACAGCTTGAAGATGGCCGCACCCTTAGCGACTACAACATYCAAAAGGAGTCCACCCTCCACCTTGTGCTGAGGCTTAGGGGAGGAGCCAAGAAGCGTAAGAAGAAGAATTACACCACCCCCAAGAAGATCAAACACAAGAAGAAGAAGGTCAGCTATTTGTTACCTGATATATTTGTTTTTGGATGCCTTACCTTACTATTTTTAACACCAGTATCTATATCAAGGTGTATAGTATTGGTATYGAGTTTACCAGTAGTTAGTAGGGTCAGCTAAAAACATGGTCAGAAAAACATTTTTCACATTCTATTTATATTCAATGTCACTAGGGTGAGACCCATCCCCATCATACTGTATCTATATCAAGGTGTATTCTAAATCAGACAACCAGTAATGCATAGGGTCTTGGCAAAGTGTCCTTCTATTTATATTTAATGTCACTGGGGTGAGACCCATCCTATTGGCCATGCCCACTATATCAAGATGTAGTCTTTATCATACTGTATCTATTTCAAGGTGTATCCTAAATCAGCTAACCAGTAATTAATTGGGTCATAACTAAGTGTCTTTCTATTTATATTTGATAATATTGGGGTGAGACCCATCGTGTTGGCTATAAAATTTTGGCCACCTCATCTATTATATAATTTGTACCATTTGGCCACTGGCGCGGTAGATTGATGGGTACTTCACCTCTCACTGCCAGCTATTTTACAATCAAATGGAATTTCATTAATACTAATCTAGTGCAGGACACAGTTACTTRTTTTGTAAAGAAACCCTCATACTTGTATAATAATTATTACTTAAGGAATCCTCTGCGAACATGAGCAGAAATTATATGGGGCCTATACTTTTCCTTTCATTCTTCCTTTCAAATTTTTGCTAGATAAAATAATCTATCWTAAATTTTGCTTTGATGCTAGAACAAATCTCATTTCTTCCTTTCCTTTTGTGTTTTTGTTGGCCCTCCTTTAATACATATTTATATTAAGTAAATTTCAGTTATTCCCTGCGTGCACATGTTTTCCTTTCAAATTCTCACCACCAACACAAGTCATGAAACTTCTGTTTTTTAGACATTTCTAGTATGCACCAATACCCTATAAATTATATTTTTCATATATTTACTTAATATTAATTAAGATGTTTTGTTATACAGGTCAAGCTGGCTGTTCTTAAATACTACAAAGTTGATGAGAATGGCAAGATAACCCGTCTGCGTAGAGAATGCCCATCAGAGTCTTGCGGTGCTGGTGTTTTCATGGCCAGTCATTTTGACAGGCAGTATTGTGGCAAATGTTGTCTAACTTATGTCTTCAATAAGCCTCAAGAGGAAAAATAGATGGAATAAATAAATCTTCCTAATATGCATTTTGTGTCTTCATTTTTTTCAATTATCTGTATATCGTATACCCAAGTGGCCAATCACATTTTAGAATAAGGTCATCTTTAACATTCCTTTAGGCCTAGGGCAAACTCCAAACTTTCCATGCACCGAACTTAATTATATCAAAGAATGCCGCCTCATTATCACCTGATATCCATTGTTTTTAATGAGTTCGGTGCATGGAAAGTTCGACGTTTGCCCTAGGCCTTAGTCAAATAAATCTTTTTTGTGCCTATTTTTCCTGTTTTGGTCGTTGCTCTTCTTTATTTTGACAACAAAATTGATAAATTCTAAGTGTAAGAGATATCGAAAGAGATTTTGCGATTTCTTTTGTTATATTAACTAACTTGGCAAGCAGATAATATCAGGAACATTGGAAATATCAGCACAGAAGAAATCCTACCCGGTTTAATGAATCCTTAGCTAGGTGCAACAGAGTAAGAGGTAAGCCATGGTAATTGAGTATTTTTTTTAACTGGGATAAGAAAATGGGAATACCCCTTTTTACAGTTCCATTCAGTGACCACCAATAATAGTTCCTAGCTGAGGCTGGAGTTCCCAGCAAAACTACAGTTTATCATGCGCGGTAACTCCAGTCTCGGCTAGAAACTATTACTTGTGGTCACTGAATGGAACTAAAAAGGAGTATTGTATTTTTAATTAAACAGAAATTCCAAATTTCTTTCCCCTCCTCTCTATCTTTCCCTTCCAGGCTACAATCTTGTATTTCCCAAAARTGCATGATTTGGGAGTAACAACGCTACAATAATGTAAAGGACAGCATTGACTTCTTTGATCATTTTTTTATTATGAAATAAATATTTTTTTTAGATTGATTTATTCAATGTTGATGTTACGAATTGTCAGTAAAATAAATAGTTATAAGGTTGACAAATGTAACTCTAAATATAACCTTAAAACCTAATAGCCAACTTGATTCATAATTGAAAAAATCTAGGGTAATTTTTCAGTGACATACTTGCCCTCAAATTATTTACATTATTTTTAAAAAAGAGTCTTAAATTTCTATCCATGTAATKAATTCAAAATTTGGAATATTGAATTCCAAGATCCAGAATCTACAATTGTCCAATCTATTTATTCCTCGCTATTCTTTGAATAGCAGTTAGGTGCTTCTATGCTAGAGCCTCTCTGCTAGAGTAGGCTAATTTTACAAGATTGTGAGATTCAGATTCCAGATATTCCTGATTCCGTTGTGGTGACGTCTTATTCAAATACTGATTCCAGTTCAGATTGAAATGAATGATTGTGATGGACTGGTAAAGGAGACTTCAGTTCTCCTCGTTCAGAAAGTCTTCTACTAGCACTTTTGACATTAGCTCTTTTAAACTTAATCATCGCTCTAATACCACTAATGACTGCCAAGAAATCTCTCTTCCTTTCTCGTTCCAACGARACTTTCCTCCCAAGAGCTCCATCGGACACAGCTTGGTGGTTTAATGCTTGAGCAGCAGTGAGCCTACCCTCGGGTTGAGGAACGATAAGGCTTCTTACAAGATCTTTTGTCGTGGTTTTGATATTATCCCAATAAGGAGAAGGCATTGTATAATGCCCTCTTAGTATTGATAACAACAACTGTTCGTCACTGCTGCTCCAAAACGGTGGATACCCTGCCAGCATCAAATACAGTATAACCCCAGYAGACCACACATCAACTGCGCAGCCTATTGGYTCCTCGAGGATTGTCTCTGGCGCAAGAAACATGGCGGCGCCGCCAGCTTCACAGGTGATGACGTCAGAGTCACTTGGAAGCCTCTGTGCTAGCCCGAAGTCTGTGACTTTGATAATAAGATCGCTGTCGTCTTGTGGGCGCTGTATTAACAGGTTATCTGGYTTGATGTCCCTGTGGACTATTCTTTGGCTGTGGAGGTATTCCAAGGCTTCAAGTAACTAAAGAAAAAGTGAAATAACTTGTGAGAGGAGTCGTGAGATGAACGCAGAAATTGTAAGCTGGCCCATGCAGACARAAAAGATATATGGCGTGACAACGTGACGGGGAAAATCCCCCGCCATATATTACCCAGAACAAAGACGAAAACCATTAACAATTTAACTGCCTGGTTCTTAAGAATACTAGCAATTTAAAATTGTTGCAGAATAATCAGTTCCCAAGAGCATATAGTTAAAAAGGTTTCATTTCACAARCTACATGATAGACCAGTCGATAGAGAAGCTGTATGTGGATGTTTGCTCCCTAGTAGACGASTATGTAAGATTTTGAAACATCACAGGCTATGAGCAATTCCTTCTTTCATTCCCCTTCACACACGGACATCCATGCAATAATACGCTGTGCGCTTGTCGCACTATGCCGCGCGCGACAGATTTTCCAGGAAACCWCCGTCGCAGGATACGAACACCGTTTCCTACCCCTCTATACATGAAAATCTCACGAACTCCGGATTTGAAGAAAAAAATTTAGATCAAAAGGACAACGTCTAGTGATGCAATAAGGGTAGACCTGTCTTGCGTATTTGAACTTAGATTTGGCTTCGACGCTAATTACTCTTGAGGTCTGAATGACGTCAGAAGAAGGGCTTCAATCTCTTTTGAAATAACTTTTAAATGATGAAATAGTTTTCGAAGACGAAAATTAACTTGTTTTAAAACCTCAGTCATTTCAAACTTGCAGCAGTTTACTAAGTATTTGTGGGTCKTGGCTGTCCAATTTCAATTGGGATATGAGTAATGTCCGTAAGTGGGCATCACACTAACGGCAAACGGCTAAATATATCAATGAAATTATACTCTCCCGCCGAGTTGACGATAAATCCGCATTCAAATTTTAAAAGGTTGTGTTTTAAAATCATATACTGATTACAGTGATCAGTGTAATTCAGAAAAAAAGTTCTTTYTCAAAATGATAGCTCCGTAGTTCCTCACAATAATCGCAAGTATCACTGACTGAAAAGTTAATAAAACCGGYTTAAAATTTTAGCCCATTTGTTTTMATTTCTTTTGCTTTAAGATTTTCAAGCTTGGGACGCGTTTATGGTAGTTTGCCGCACATACCTGTTTTGTTATACRCAGCGCTTGCTTTTCTGTATAGACAGTCTGATTAATGATTTCATCAAATAAACTCCCACCATCTACTAGCTCCATCACAAGATAGATGGTATCTCCTTCTGTGAACGATTGATGTAGCACCACAATATTTTCGTGTCGAAGATCTTTCAGGATTTCTACTTCTTGTTCGATCTTGGCTTTGTATTCAACATCACCATTGCAATCTAACTCTTTTGCCGCAAAAGAACTCCCAGTGTCTTTATCGATGCATCTGAACACCTTAGCAAAAGAGCCCTCACCGAGTACTTCAAAAAAATCAAAAGTCTTTCCTAAAGTTCCTTTTTGAGATTTTTTTGAATCAAAAGGTTTGAKCATGTCTGAGTTTTTTACGTCCTGAAGAGGTAGAATGGTAGGCATATTCACTTGTTCTAAAGCCTTTAGTATAGAATGAAAGTTCACCTATGGTGTTTATATATATAGACGAGGGAGGGCGAAACGCTCATTAAAATAAGTGTATCTCAGCACGTGATGGATAGGGAYGATAGTAGCATACTCGACCTTTAACTTAGCGGCTACTGTGACGTACGAAACGCAGGAAATACTAATTAGTTCCAGATTACGATCAAAATGAATTTTACGCAACATTTTCGACGCTCTAACGAAATGAAATATATATATATAGATTTCTAGAGTTAAGTTTTACTAACGGTTATACTTCCTGAGTACTAGAGTTCTTTTTCGATCTCAATTTAATTTTCTCTTACCATCGCTCCCCATGTCTATTATTTTTCCCTCTTTTTTCGTCAAAGGCGAACCGTAGGGCTGGTCGTCACATGACCTCGCCCAAACAAACATCTCGATTCACCACACAAAGCATATTTTTAAGACGCTTTTTGAAAGGTCAAAAATTAAAGAAATTTTCCGGTTCGTCCTCACACCACACCTCGACCGCAAYGCCTTAGTTGGTCTATTTATGGCGATGAGAACACACCCATACAATTCTCTGGATAACTATTACTGTAATTGGCTCAATTTCCTTTTTACTGATTGGTTAATAGCAGCGGTGGTCAGTTATCGATCCCGATGTCTACGGTTGTTTTCACCAAGATGAACTTACGATCAATGATCTACCGTACCGCGTTTGCGAACCATATCGATGCTRGACCGAAGGCACTGTAGTTGTTCTTTTCGGAGTGACTGAATGAGGATAATTTTAAATTAACTTGATGGTACCTTAATGGTAACTCATTATCTAGCAAGGGATATAAAACAAACCGCGAACAAACAAAAATCCAAATAAATTAAAAACAACTGACCCAATAATAATCCTCAGCAAGAGGGGTGGTTTGGAAAATAAATAATCTATTAGTCCCTTCGCTCTTCCGTCCGTTCCTCATTCCACTTCATCAACAGTACCGAAACAAGGTTCAGGCAAATCTGCGCAGTACCCTGAGAATAAGGAAACGCCGGTGTATACTTTTTTGGTCGAACTAGAAGTTGGCCGGTTTCTAAATGTGATTTTATCTTTGCCGGATTTCTGGAGATRAGCTGTTAAAGGCATGCATGTTCAAAACGGTTGGTTCACTTAAAGTCATCCAATACTTTCAGACTAGGCGACTCACACAGAGCAAAAAGAGCAAAGGACAGAAGGAGATGACAGCAGAGGAGGAGGAGTAAAGGAAATTAGAGTAAAAGATTAATCTCGACTTTGATTAATGAAAAAATAGAAAGAAGGGCGACTTAATGAATTGAAAGTGATGCATGATGATCTGMAGATTCCTGTATGACAGCGAGGTAAACTGATATTGATACTAATCCATACGGGATAGAATAGAGAGGTTAATGGGTCATTAATGCTAATGCTCTTAGACATCACAGAACCTAACGGCTTTTTTTTTTCAGTCGCTCTGGTTCGACGACTTTCTTTCCTTAGTTGTCGTTTTGAATTAGTATTTCGAATCCGTTGTCAATTCGAGAAACCTTGAGAACGAACGCATGCAAATCAAAGTCTAATATAACGAAACTATATTGACTGCCAATTATCTGCTAATCATCCTGACACCGTAGGCACTGAAGGACAAAAGCTGACGCGGGAAAATACTAGGAAAAAGCTCTTTTTTTATTACTATTATTGACAGCTACCATTTTTCATCTGATGTACGAGAATTTAATATAAATTGCATATTTTCAGTCAGTTGGTTCAGTATATTTGAATGAGTTTTTATGAAATTCGATTTAGTTGCCGCSTAGATGTTTTATTTCATCAATCAAAATGACTATCCCTTCCTTCCCTCATTCTTCTCCACCCATTTAACACTCGACCCGTCAGATAGTCTGAAGAAAGTACACCACAAGAATCAGATCATTTTGAAAATTTCGCTGGAGAAAAGCCCTTCCCTTTTGAAAAAAAAGCTAGCAAATAAAAATACAAGATTTCAAATTTCTGTGTAGAAGTAAAGTCATTTTAATTGTTTTAATAGAGCGTTTTCACGTGACGTCACAGCGGCCATTATGGGGTACCAAAACAATACATTTTCTACCCTCCGGAAATTGAATATACTTTGTACTTTCTTAAAGTAAATTTTGCCGCCAATTTTGAACTCTTCGCAACAGRCATTATTTTTGATGAGTCTTCTGTAAGGAGTCTTCTGTAATTAAGAAGACCCTAATTTTGGAGAACAAGGATGGTGTAACCCGTCTCTCACCTCTGGCGCGTGATCCTGACTCAGCATCACACGTGAGTAGAATTTGTTAGGATCTTTTTTTTTTTTTTTTTTGGCTCTGGGTTCTCCGGTTTTGCATTCAAATATATATAATTCAATTTTTTTCTTTTGTCAAAGTTTTGCAGTAATCGTAGGACTTCTAGGTTTAAACGTCCTATACATTGTGACTACAGCAGCTCCTCCGATACCAAAGTTGTGTTGCAGTGCAATTCGTGCTCCGTCAACTTGTCTTTTACCCGCCTCGCCACGAAGCTGTGAACATAAAGAAAAAAAACCGGTATACAAATCAGTCAGTCACGCTGCTACTCAGCAGTGGGTCGAGCAGAAATATGGTTGGCAGGTCAGTCGGTTAGTTGTCAAGCAGATTCATCTGGTCGGTTATCTGGTCGGTTATCTGGTCGGTGGGTCGATTGGTTGGACGGCAACTACTCAGCCAAACAATGGGTCACTGAGCAGAAACATGTATATGGTCGGTCTTCTCGTTGGTCGGTAGGTCGGTTGGCAACCATTCAGTCAAACAGTGTGTCAAGCAAAAACATATGGTCGGTTCTAGTGGGTAGGTTGGTTGGTTGGTCGGTCAGTCAATAAGACAGAATGACAAATATGGAATAAATATGGAATAACTTCTTTACCTGCCAAACTAGTTCAGCACATTGAGCCAGACCTGTTGCTCCAATAGGATGACCTGTGTGTTTAACGACAAAAAGTTAGGCATCATGACCAGTCGACATCTCCCCCACCCCCACCCCCTATGGCCCAACTTGTCTACTTGCCTTTAGATTCTAGTCCTCCTGAAGGATTCACAACCCATCGTCTACCGAGTCTGCATATCTCACCACCTGTAGAAAGGCACATATTTTTTTATTTTT